TCTCATATAGCTCGATACTTGGAGAAACTCTATATATCATTTCAAGAGTATCACACATTTCCTTGAGGGTTTTGCAATTTTTAACATAAAAATTCTACTATCATCTAGAGACATTACTATAAATATTTTGGTTTTAAAATCTATTTCAAACTTTCTCTTTTCTTCTTCGGTAGTTTCCTACAATTCATAATTCATACTTTGAATAAAAATTCCAAACCTAGCTTGCCACAATTCAAACCTAACACTATTAAAAGGTGGAACCGTGTTTAGAAGAGATCTCTTGTTGGAAGTCATCTTCCTCCAAAAACGAGTAGTCCTTTAAAATGAGTTGGGCTCTTATGTCACTTGTTGGACATGTGACTTCACAAGCAAGATGGGGTGAATTGTATATTTTAGAAAAACATTTGTTAGAAAAACTTTTTTGGATCAATTTCAAAGTTTAAAAACATTTTAGAAATTTTTTGAAAGTAAGAAGTGGAAATAAAATTCATAAAGAAAAATGCGGAAAGTAAAAGTTAAGGGAGGAGAGAAAAACTGGAAGTTATAGAGGTTCTGTCAAAAGAAAAGACCTAATTCTATCTCCAATATTTGTTCTTCAGAGTGTAAAAAATATTAAGAGATTTTAATAGGTTGAACTCTCGAACTGCCTTATACAATAAAAATGAAATTTGTGGCAAACTTCTAACCAAACAACAAACACAGACAGAAATGGCGAGTCTTCCTTCCAAACTATGGATCAAAGAGATTAGTCTTCTTTCAATAAGAAACTTATAGATGTTATTATTTAATCTTGAAACCAATATTTTACCCAGAATGATCTTGAACATAGGTGAACTTTAATACCGAGTTGAACTTACAAACCTATAAAATTTTATACCAGGCTGATCTTCAACCTTAACAAACTTTTAACACCGAAAAAAACTTGAACCAAAAAGAGGTTTTACACAGGATAACCACCAACCAATATGAGATTTTAACCTCGAACTGATCTCGAACTGAATAAAAACTTTTGAGCAGTTTGAGCCTTCGAAATGAACCGGTAACTTATAATTGATTTTATTACACCTTATTGATATGGTGTCATCTTTAACCTTTTATGCTTGACTTTGGTTGTTATCATCAATGACTAGTTGTCAACGTCAAAAGCATGTTCATCTTCAGTGGAACTTAATTGAAAATAACCTGTAAAACAAGGTTACACGGTTGTAACACCATTTGTATTCCATTATTTATCTCGTGAAAATAGGTCGTTGATTATATTTTGTTTAAGTACGTAGAAGATTAGGAGCCCCTAGTTTATTGAGTGAAAACGTTGCTTGAAGATAGTCAATGAGCTTATGCACCCAAAGTAGAGGAGGATCGTGTGATGAGAATATCATCAAAATAGACAAGGGCATATACTTTGATTCCTTAATGATACATGATATATATAGAATTATCTCATTTTCTATGAACAAAACCAAAATGCACAAGGGCATGAGTTAACTTCTCATACCATGTCCTAGGAGACTTCTTTAGACCATATAAAACTTTATTTAACTTGCATACGATAGTAGAGCCTTACTGTTCAAAACTGGGAGGGTGAATCATGTAGACTTTCTCTTTTAGTGAACCATTAAGAAACACATTATTAATATCAATTTGTTGGAGTACCAATTATGATTCAAGGCCAAAGTGAGAACAAATCTAATAGTGGTAGGCTTCACAACATGTGAGAAAGTTCCATTGAAATCAAAACCAAATTATTGGTGATATCCTTTTGCAGCAAGTCAGACATTTGTACTTCTTTAAAGTTCCATCGGGATTTACTTTCACTTTTAATATCCACCTGTCATACCCTAAATTTGCCCGCCTTATTTTCTACAGTCAAATGGTTTTCAAAATTGGTTTTTTATAAATTTATTTGGTTTATTTACAATAAAATTTTGGATTTTATATTTATTTTCAATTTATTTTGTCTATTTAAAAAATATATAATACTTTACTATAAATTATTTATATTTCATAAAATAACAAATATTTTCCACCCTTCAGATACTTTCAAGTGGCTTCTTATGATAAATACATGAGTGAGCACAATTGGTAAAGAGGTAAGACTTTAAAATATAAGGTCACATGTTTAAATATCACTTGCTATATTTTTAATATTTTTCCTTTCATTTGTTACTAACTTTATTTTCATTTTTAAATTATAAAATTGCATTTTTTTATTTTTTTTATTTCAATTTTTTTAATTATTTTTAAGCATTTTCAAAAATAATTATTTATGATTTTATGCACTTTTTATCAAAAGTGGGTGCAAAAATTATAATAAATACTAAAAAAAAATCTTTTTCAGCTTAATTGTTTTTCATTGGTCAATCTGTGTCAATTAATGTTATAATTGGCTTCTGATTGATCAACCACTACAAGAAAAAGTTGAATTAGCTTGGGGTAAATGGCTAGGGGTTAAACTCCTAGCTAAATTTACCTTTAGCTTGGGGTAACCTCCTATCTAAATAATATAAAAAAAATATTAAATTTGGTATGGCTAGGAGCTCCCGCCTAGCTAAACTTTAGGAGATAATTTAAAATAAATTCGTTGGACGTTTGCGAGGGGGTTGCACTTGAGAAAAAAGAAACCATTAGTGAAGGGGGATCACCTCACCCTACAAAATAGCCATTGGCAATTTGCGAGGGGGTGATCACCTCGCCATCTAAGTTAGATTTTTGCAATGGGGTACCCCAAGCCAACTGTCACATCACATCTTCTACTCTGAATCAGCCTGCACGTTGCAGAGTGGCTACAGCTTTTTGGCAGCTAGCGAGGAGCTAGCCCCAAGCCACATGACAACTTATGTTTCCAAGTCGTTTGTCTTGCGTTTGTAGCTTATATTCGTTTGTCTTCCCTTCTCTTCATTTTCAGAGCTGGAAATCTCTCATTTTTAAATTCTTCTTCATTTTTTTTCTCCATTAACACTACTATTTTACTCCATTTAGAAGTTTTATTTTTTTATTTCAAAGGTAATAAAGTTATTTCTATATGTTATTTAAGATATATGTTGTTATGTTAACTTATAAATTCTGATTTTTGTTGGATTAAATCCGTAGGTATTTATTATATTTTTCTCTATCAATACTAACTTTGTTTAATAAAGCTTCTTTATAAGGTATGTAATATATTTTATTTTACTAAATTTTTTTTTAAATTATAAGTTAGATTTAGGTAAATTAAACTGATTATATATATATATATATATATATATATATATATATATATATATATATATATATATATATATATATATATATATATATATATATATATATATATATATATATATATATATATATATATATATATATATATATATATATATATATATATATATATATATATATATATATATTACATTATATTAATAGTAGGGGTGTTCAAATCCAAACTAATCCAAATATAAAACCGAAAATCGATCTAAAAAACCGAAAACTGCAAAAAACCAAAATGTATTGGATGTGTTTGGATGTATGTGAAAATCGATTGGTTCGGATCAAATTTCGGATTAGTTTTTCAAAATCGATCCAAATCAAACCAAACTGCATACATATATTTTTATACTTATTTACTTTTTATTAGTATGATATGTTACGTGAAATTATTATTAGATGATAATAATTTTTTTAATAATAGTTATTAGTTTGGTATAATTTATTTATTTTTATTATTTTAATCATAATCAACCATTCTCATTTTGTAATATTAACTTTTAATATACTATATGTTAAACATAATATCAAATTTATGATTTATTAGTAGTTTTATAGTATTAATAAAAATATAATGTGTAATTTGGATATTCAAAAATCCATCTAAATTAAACCGCATAAAATTGGATCGGATCAGATTGGATTTTTTTTAATATATCATCCAAAACCGAACGGTAAGTAAATTTATCTTTGGATCGGATGATTTTTTGTCTTAAAATCGATCTAAATCGAACCGCGAACACCCCTAATAAATAGCCCTCTATTTTCAGAGTTTAGGATACACACAATTTTACAATTTCACTTACACACATTTTTTTCAAACCTTTCTACGATTTTCCATCAACAATTTTGACTAATAATTAACCTATGAAACCCCTTGTTATTTTCAATTTTATTATTTTATTAATTTTAATTTGTTTACTTTTTTTAAACCATACAGGATTTCCGATGATTGTGTTTTTTAAAATTATATTTGCAATTTTCTAAAAATCTTACACACATCATTCACAACTAATTCTTCTAAATAAGTTTTATGACGATGACTACTTTGATGGTTTTTCTCTTCGATGTACATACAAGCATTATATTCTATAAACATGAATCTATTTACATGGTAATAACAGGGATTATTTTTTTCTTTTTGTTTTAATGTCTTTTATAGTTCATAAAAATATGGGGATGAAACTCTAACCTACTGAGATTCAATGTTAGCACGTATCATAGTGATTGCAAAATAACCAACAAATAACTTGTCTGTATGAGATTTTTTTATATTTTAAAATACTAATCTAATTGTTTTGTGAATTAATTATTAAACTTGTTTCTCTGTTATGTAACAGGTGATACCCAGATAAAACATCTACACTGTTATCATGGCTATTAAATCATATTCACATCACAAATCTCACTAATTGGCACTTTATTTTCATCCTGCACTCCATAACAATACTAATTTCCCTTTACAAATAAACTCACACAAGTGATGTTGGTGTTGAATATGCTTCTTCGAAAAAGTTCCAGCTCTTGTAATTATAACTGTTATAACAAAATATATGGAAAAGCTCTGTTATTTGCAGGTATTGGGGTTTCATAAACAATGAAAATCTACAACAGAGTCACTGTAAATCCAACCTCCATCGAAACAGGAAGAAGGAGAATCAATTCAAAGAATCAAAGAAGAAGACCTAAATCGCAACCGTGAGCACACAACAACCGCAACACCACAGCCATACACGAATCATTGCTAAGACTCATCAAAACCCCGAATCCTCCATGCCCTCAGCCCCATGCAGCCATGCACGAATCACACATGGCTCACTCCCGCTGGTATGAGACTCCCTCCGTTCCAACACACCAGCCACCTCGGAGCCCACCGATGAGAACAGTCTGATGCATATTCCTCCATGAAGACAACCAAGTCATCCTTCTCAACCGCCGCACCAGCAAACAACGATGGTCACCAGATCTCCGCACCTCGGTTCAGCTTCCACCACTGTGACTCCTCCTAACCACGACAACCTCAAGCCAGGATCGTGTAACCACCTCCCAGCCGTCGTGCTTTGTCCTCTGCTCCATCGACCTATCTGTTTGTGATGTTGTTTAGGAAACATATTATTGCCTTGACTTTTGGAAAAGGATATAGGAAGAGTTTTTCTTTTGTTTTGTGAGGAAGGTTTTTCACGTGTTTTATAACACAGAGAGAGAGAGAGACTCTCTCACTTGACACCTCCTCAATTCCATCTAGCACCCTATGTCTCCTCCATTTAGTTATTATTTAGTTAATAATTCTAATTAATAATTTGGATAGTTAATTTTATTTCATAAAAAAAATATCAAATAAAATTACAAACATAAAATCCCATAATTCACATGTTTAATTTAACTTCAACATTTTTAAAAATAATATGATTTCACATCTTCGAGTAATTAAGTGGTTGTTAACGTCTTACTAATTAATTATTCAAATTAGGACATCTAAAATTTATCATTAATAAATCAATTTCTTCGCCCAACGCGATTTAATTCTAATAAAGATCAAATCTTTATCAATCAATCAAATCTAAAATAAGTAACCAATCAAATCATTTCGTCTACTAACATAATCAAAACTCAATACTTTTTTTTCAAATAAAGAATCGTTCGGTCTCTTTCTACTTGGATATAAAAACTTCGCCTATCATCACTCAATTGTCAAACCCATGCAAGTTCAAACCCATTCAAAAGCAACTTAACATGATTCTATAAAAAACATCAACTAAACACTTTGAACTACGAAATAGACTCTGCTTCCTTTACAAGAGGATACATAGGCACGCGGTTCAAAAACCTAGGCGAATCTCTTAACTAAAAAATTAAATATTTTTCTTTTGTATGTGGTAATAACATGATTAAATAGAAAATATATTCATTTGAATCCTAAAGTTAAAAAGGGCCCTCTTGAATACAATTGAGATAAATGGTGCCTAACACCTTCCCTTTATCTAATCAACTCGTAAATCTAGAGATCCCTGAAAACTAGGGTTATCCATTCATTTCCCGTCCTAAGAACAAAAAGTAGTTGCGGTGAATCTCTTATTTTTAGCCGGTTACGACAACTGGTGACTCTGTTGGGAAATCAACCCTTAAGTTAGAGTTTACCCTACCTTTAGGTTTAGGATTTTGCGGGTTTTTTCTATTTATTGGTATTTCCTTATTTATTTTTGTTTATTTGTTCATTATTTGTTTTTATTTATTTGTTATCATATTGTTTTTATATCTATTGGTGAGATCTTAAAATAATAACGAACCTTACATAAGGGGTTGTCAATTGGCCAAGGGGGTTTAACATCCCTATGAGTTTTTGCGACAACTTCACTTAAAGTGGGTCGAATTCTGAGGAATATCTTTAGAGTGATAGCCTCTCTTAGAGATAGGACTTTGGATTTGTCCAATGACTCTATGAACAACCCTAAAAATAAATCTCATGGTGAGACCGTCCATAGCCTACAAGACGAAAGTCTAGGTTTGCATAGAGGCTCCACTTAAAGGAGGTCATTATGCCTCCCCTATGTGTTATCTGTTGCACCCTAAATTTCTCCTCTAAAATTTTAGTCGCATTATCAAATCATATTTTTTTATTTGGTCTCAATCATTAATAAACAGCTTCATTGATCATATTTTACACCATTAATCGTATTTAGGTTAACCAAAAAGTCAGTTTAAATTGATATTTGCATCGTTTTATAGTTGAAAAAATACTCGTTATTTCACTTCATGTATTTTTATCTCTTTATCTGCTTCCTGCATCATATCAAGTTGTTTATATGTCAATAATATTAATATTTCGGTTTTATAAACAGACCGTTAATAGAAATTCGACATTGTGCAAAAAATTAGAGATAAAATATTTTGAGTTTTCAATGTTTACTGACTGTTTTATGAATCAACATTTGCATAGATCACGTCGGTATGTGTAACACCCCGATTTAATTAGAATTATTTTTAATTAAATAATTAGAGGATGCGGTGTATTATTATGAATTAGTTGAAATTATTTTATTAAACAATTAGATGATATGATGTGTTTATATGTGTTGATGAATTTTAAGATGTGTGTTGATGGGATTATTGGAAGATTATAAGTAGTGAGAATTGTAGAAATTAAGGTGTATGGGTGTGTGACTAAAAGTGTAGAGACATGTGGGTGAATGGAGAATATTAGTATCATTGTTATTATTATTATATTTACTATTGTTATTATATGAGATAAGTAGTAATTATAATATTAATAATTAAATAATTAGATTAATCTAGTAATAATAAGAGGGGTATGATGGGGATATCTATATTAGGGGTCTAAAAGAGAAAAGAGTTTTGGTTATTCTGATCTATCGTAGAAAACAAGAGAAGAAGCGAAAGAGAGAAGAAGAGGAAAATCATTAGGAAGCTAGAAAAAGAGATTTCACCGTAGAGATTTTGAATCGTCAATCCAAGGTAAGGGTGAAGTTCCAACTCTCTAATAAGTGGTATAATTGTGGGTAGATGATATTGAATGTTAGGTTTTGGGATAAATTATGGTGAAATTGATTGTTGTAATTGCTTATAAATGATGAAATTGATATGTTGATTGTGTTGGGTTTGTGGTATATGATGTGTGTTGATGATTTAAAATAATTGATGTGTTTGATTTTGCCTAAAAAGTATTTTTTGAATGAAGAGAATGGAAACTCGTAGCAGAAAATTACTGATTTTTAGGCTCTGGTTTAGTGGTAGCTGGTTACTGGAATTGAGTAACCGGATACCGATGAAGGTTTTTGCGTGATTTGCCACTGTTTTGTATGCAGTAATCGGTTACTGGTATTGAGTAACTGGTTACTGCTGTGTTGGACATAATTTTTTAAAACTTGAAAACTCCATAACTTTTGACTCGGATGTCCGTTTGACACGACGTTTAGACCGTTGGAAAGATAAAAATATTTTCTACAATTTAGTAATAATTTTGATTATAGTAGAATAATATTTTATTGGAAGAATTCTGATGTGTGCGTATGATGTATGTGTTGTAATGCAAATTATTATGATTAATTGTATCGGTGTTACATTGATGATGTGTGAAGGAATTTTAGGTGATATTGCAGTATTACAAAGATGATGTTAGCCTGAAATTGGCGTGATGTTGATGATTATGGTTGTGGTTGCATAATTTTGTTGTAGCATGTCGCATTTTATGCATCGTTGAGGGCTTGTGCTCTGGCCTGTATTGGTAATTCATTAAGGGCTTATGCCTTGGCCTTATATGGAAATTTGTTGAGGGCTTATGCTCTAGCCTGTATTGGCAATTTGTTGAGGGCTTATGCCCTGGCCTTATACGGTAATTTATTGGTGAAGGCTTATGCCTTGATGGTACCACATGCATCTTGCATCAGTGTCAGTCGCATTGCATATTGTTGAAATGTTAATAAGATGATGATGTTGAATTGCATATTTTTGAATTGTTAATATAATAATGATGTTGAATTCCATATTGTTGAATTGTTAATACGATGATGATATTGGGTTGCATAATTGGTATGCGTTGTATGACGGATGACAATAATTATATATATTTGTATAATCATTGTGAATTTATGGTTGATGATGTTGAGCATGAAATCTTACATGATATATTTGTCGCATACTTATTATTATATGACTTATTATATGGTTGTGATATCTCATCCCTTCTGTTTGAATGTTGCCTCTACGTGGATAACATGCAGATGATCAGAAGTAGCTCGAGGTCGAGGTTAGCCGAAGAGTTGCCTATTTTGCATAGATTGGGTCGGTGTCAGCTCTGATACGTAACACTTGGGAGGTTTTGTGCTTGTTTTTTTTATGTTGGGAGTAAACTTTTGTATAACTTTGTTGTTGAGATTTAGCTATTGTTTATGTTGAATTATTAAAAGATGATTTTTATCACTCATGTTGAAGAGTTGAAAGTAATTATTATTGATGTTTTCTGCTGCGAATGAATGCAATGAAGTTTAAGACTATTGAGTATGTGATTTTGTGTTGCATATCTTATTTCAAGAGCATGTATGATGTATGAATATGTGGAATTCTATTCTTGATGTTTGTTTTAGAAATTAATTTACTCTGATTTTACTTATTTTACCGACGGATAAATAGGGTGTTACAATTGGTATCAGAGCAGGTCGGTCCATCTGGCCAAGTTGTTGAATCTGTAGTATGACGGTTGAATATTGTCATTATTTTATTCCTTAGTATGCAATATGTGTGTGAAACATTGTTTGTACTTTCTTACTGTTCTAATCACTTGTTTGTAGGAGACAGATTGAAAAAAAATGTGGGAGAAGATGTTGCTTCTCAAGCATGTTTTAGTTGTGAGGCGTTCATAGTTGGTTCAAAGTGTTGTAAATCGCATAATTGCAAAGATTGGTGAGACAGTGTTGTTTCCCGAGTTTGGAGTAAGTACGAATTCATGATTTAAGTATAATAGTCAATCGAAGTGTTCTTGAGGGGGAATGATCAGGTACTCGTGTTGTTCACATCTCTAGGAGTGGAGGGAGATTCTATGAATAATGAGGTGCCAACGAGTGTGAGTCCTGATGTTTTTCCGAAAATGATTGCGACTGGTCAATAGGGTGAGATGTTGGTGTAACTTGAGGTTATTCTTGGGTTAAATTGTTTGAGGTTAAACCAAGTGATTACAAATTTATTTGATGAGTCGATGTAGATTCTTATGTTGGAATATACATGTTAAGTAAGTACGATCACTCTTAGAAGATGAAGCTCAAATGGTTGTAATGTTTTCAGCACCGTATGTTGATTGTGAAGTTGTCAATATTGAGTTACCGTTGTATGTGATGTCGATGTTTTGAATGGAAATAGAGTGATGAATTACCATAAAGTTTGTGTTGGGATCATATAGGTAATTGTTGAAGGTTGTTAATATTATTGGGTAATTATGAATCATGAGTCAGAGTCGAAACTCAAAGATATTAGTGGTATTGTGAAAGAATTGGAATATTGATGTTTTGATATGATTGGGTGTCGGTGTCGGTGTTGAAATTGTTGAAATGTATTTAACGTGTCAATGATGGGATTGATGCAATATAATTGAGTAATTGCA